TGTCATAAAACAACATGTGTACTACTGTTTCATGAGAAACTATTTGTTCTGTAAGCCTTCACCTGAAGTACAATAAAATATTAAAAAAAAAAGAGTATTCCATTGTTCAGACTTACTAAAATATATAGTAAATAAGATTTACGCACAGATATTCACAGTGATTACAGATTTTTGTTATTACAGAACTTGTTTCACTGCTCTTGAACAGCTGAGTTTTTTGGTCTTTTTTTTTAAAGACACATGTACGCTCACACGTGCTCCCTCTTTCCCTCTCTTAACAAAAGCTTAAAAGCAAGATCCAAAAAGATAAAACCTAAGTAACTTAATTTCATACAGAATAAAAATAAAGCATATTTATAGGAATACAAGATATCTGGTACCCAATAAGGTAAAATTCACAATATTTGGCATCGAATTAAAAGCTACCAAGAATGCAAAGCAAGAAAATACAAACCAATTAAAACCAAGCTAGCAATGGCACACTGAGTAGACACAAACATTAAAACATGTATTATAACTGTATTTCATATATTCCAGAAGCTAGCAAAAACACTGAACATAAAAGTAGAGACAAGGAAAATTCTAGAGGCAAAAGGAGATAGCATATTCCTCTTAGAAAACAATGTAAGCCAAAAGACAATGGAATAACATCTTCAAAGTGCTGGGGAGGGGGGAAAACACTGTCAATCTAGAATTCTATATCCAGGGAAAATAGCTTTCAAAAACAAAGATGAAATAAAGACCTTGTCAGATATATAAAAGCTGAAAGAATTCATCAGTAGTAGATCAACAGCATAAGAAATATTCAAGGAAGTCCTTCAGGCAGAGGAAAACAATACCAGATGGAAATATGGAATGAAAAGCAAAGGCAACAGGGAACTATAGAGGTAAATATGAAAGGCTTCTTTCTTACTATTAAAAATTATTAATAAGTTAATTTAATGTTTAATGCAAAAATAATAAGACTGTATTATGGATTTATAGCATATGTAAAAGCAAAATGTATGACAACCAAAATAAAGGGCAGGAGGGGAGAGATGGAAGCATAGTGTTGTTAAGGGTCTTCTTATTATCTGTGAAGTGATACCATATCACTTGAAGGTAGACTGTGATAAGCAAAAGATGTATACTCTAAACCTTAAAGCAACTGCTAAAATTACACAACAAAGAGTACAGCTGATAAGCCAACAAAGGGTATAAATGGTATCATTAAAAAAACTGATCCAAGTTAATAGGACTGAGGCTTCATTTCCTTGTTGGCTGTCTGCTGCCTGCTGCTCTCAGCTTCTTGTAGCTGCTCTCCAGACCTTGCAGGTGGCCGCCTCCATAGTCAAAGCCAGAAATGGAATACTGAATCTTTCTTGTTCTTTGAATCTCTCTAATGCGCCCTTCCGGAGCCCTGGTGGTGCAGTGGTTAAGAGCATGGCTGCTGACCAAAAGGTCAGCAGTTCGAATCCACCAGCCGCTCTTTGGAAACCCTGTGGGTCAGTTCTACTCTGTCCTATAGGGCTGCTATGAATTGGAATCGACTCGACAGCAACGGGTTTGGTTTTTGTTTTTGTTTTTTAATGTCCTCTTCTTCCATCAGCTGGAGAAAACTCTCTGCTTTTAAAGGACTTGTATGATTAGATTAGGTCTATCTGGATAACCTACCTTACCTTAAAGTTAGTTGATTTGGGACTTTAATTACATCTGTAAAATACATTCACAACAGTACCTAGATAAGTGTTTGAATAACTAGCGGATGGGACTCTTGGGAGAGCCATCTTTAAAACTCTGCCTACCACACATCAGGAACAATTCAAGGATGTCTGTTCTCATCATTTCTATTCAACATCGTACAGGAGGTGCTAATCAGTCCAAGGCGGCAACAAAAACAAATAAAAGGCATTAAAATAGGAAAGGAGGAAGTAAAACTGTCTTCATTTGCAAACAACATGATTGTCTATGTAGAAAAACTTATGGAATATATAAAAAAGCTACTGGAGCTAATAAGTGATTTTGGCAAGGTAGCAGTATACAAGATCAATGTACAAAAATCAATTGTATTTCTATATACATGCAATGAACAATGAGAAACTGACATTTAAAAAGCAACAGCATTTACAGTAGCATGAAAAATATGAAATACTTAGGGATGAATCTGGTATGAGATGTGCAAGACCTACAAAGCATTGCTGAGTGAAATTAAAGAGAACCTAAACAAATAGAAAGAAAGAAAGAAAACACCTATTTATGGATCAGAAGACCCTTATCTTGCTAAAATGGTAACGTTCATTGATTAAACCCAATTACAATCAAGTTTTATCAGGCTGTTTTGTAGAAATTGACAGCGAGCTGATTCTAAAATTTTATACAAAACACAAAGTACCTAGAATAGGCAAAACAACTTTGGAAAAGATAAATGTTGTAAAACATGCACACCTGATTTCATGAGGTATTATAAAGTTAGAGTTACAGTAATCAAAATCATGTGATACTGGCACAAAGATAGACAAATAGATCGATGTAACAGAACAGAGTTCAGAAACAGACATATAGTCAACTGATTTTCGACACAGGTGCAAAAGCAATTTAGTGGAGAAAGGATAGTCTTTTCAACAAATTGTGCAGGCACACGTCAATCCCACCAAGTGGTGGCAGACTGCTCCACTTGCCCTCCCTCCCGTCCTCTGATCACCAGCTGCTTGTCCCACCCCTCCTGCCTGTCTGCCCCGCTGAGCGGGGAGAGGTCATTCCAACATGGCACCAGCAACTTGCCCTACCTCTCCCACCCACCAACTTTGGTGCGGCGTTGGCCGCTCTCAATCAGCCGAGCAACAGCAATGGCGTGTCTGCATGCCTGTCATCCACACCCCACCCAGCAAGTGGTGGCAACCAAGCGCCTGCACACTCGCTTGCCCATCACCCATTTCCCCACTCCCTCCACCCAGTGAACGGTGGTGACCACGTTCCCACACACTCACCCACCTGCCACCCAACCCCCCGAATCCAGTGATCAACAGCGACTATGTCCCTGCTGGTTCGCTCACCACACCCACCACACCCGTAGCCCTACACACTTGACAAGTGCAATCACCTGCACCTGCATGACTGGACAGATGACAGACAGTAGCCGATGCCCACTCTGACCACCGGCAGCTTCCCAGAATGACCAACAGACACCCACACTCACACCACCAGCTGCTACCTCATTCACCCAGAGACACGTGGCAAGCGCTCTAGTGCTGCCAGACCTGAGACCAGAAAACCATGCAAGCCCCACCAGCCCGGATATAACAAAACAAAACAAAAAATAAGAATGAAGCAAACAAACATACAATCAATAAACATGGTAACATCTTAATGCCTCAAAGACAACAGATAAGATCAAATCATATAAAGAAATAGGACAAGATGGCTAAAGCAAATGACTAAAATAAAGAGCCAGAAAACCTTCCTGAGAAAGAAGTGGTAATTGAACTACCTGATAAGGAATTCAAAAGACTTATATATAGGATCCTCAAAGAGATCAGGGAGAACACAAACAAAACCAAAGATAACAAAGATAAAACGCTAAAAGAATTCAGGAAAACAATACACGAACAAAACGGCAATTAGAAACCATATAAAAACAGCAACTAGAATTCCAGAAGATTAACACTTAAACTTCAGAAATAGGTAACACAGTGGAAAGACA